AAGGAAGCGCTGGATCGCCCATGTTATGGCGTTTACCAAACTTGCCCCGACGTTGTCGTATTTGGGAGCCACGGTCCTGCTTTTGTTTTCACGGGTTACGAAGCTGAGTACCGCGTCTGCGACGCGGGCGCCTTGCGGGCAGAGCCCTTAGCCACCCTTTATCTTGCGCGGTCAAAATCAAAAAAAATCGAGCACAATTGCGTTACATGGGCATGGCCGGGGTTTCTGCACCGAACGATCTTACTTTCGGTCTATCGAAAGTGTTGATCGATAAAATTCTTTTGCTCGTGCTTTGCTGGGCGTTGCCCGGCGCTTCGAGATCATGACCTGGTCCGGCACCCTTCGCGCGCCGCTGATCGACCTGGAGCGGCCCGACGAGACCGAGTGGGACTGCCGCGGCTTCGACACACCTCTCCCGCAAGGCGTGCAGCACGTCCACGACGGCAACTTTCAGCTCGTGAGCCCGGCTCCGAGCAACAGCATCCCCACGAGCAAGCCGCGCCCCGAGACGGTGGCCAAGCGGAGGCGCGCGCTGCTCGCCATCGTCTGCTGCACCACCGTCATGCTCATCGAGTTTGGAGGCGGCCTCGCCGCCCACTCCCTCGCCCTGGTCACCGACGCAACGCACATGCTGGCCGACGTGGCGTCATACTGCATCGTCCTCGTCTCGCTCGGCACGGCGTCCAAGGGGCCGTCGGCAAGGGCCTCCTTCGGACTGCTGCGCGCCGAGGTGCTCTGCGGGCTCGGCTCGCTCCTCCTCATCTGGGCCACGGCCGGGGTGCTACTCTACGAGGCGGCCTGGCGCATGTACGATCTCGCATCGTCAGACAACAAGCCGCGCACCGACGGGCCGACCATGCTGGGCGTGGCTGCCCTCGGGCTCGCCTCCAACCTCGGCCTGCTCCTCCTCTTCCGCGGAAGCGGCGACAAGGGCGACGACAGCCACGGGCACAGCCACGGCGGCGGTGACATGTCGACGCGAGCCGCCCTGGTACATGTAGCGGGGGACGTGGCGCAGAGCGGCGGCGTGCTGATCGCTGCCGCCCTCATCACCTTCGACGGGCAGCGGTGGGTGTGGCTGGACCCCGTCGTCACCGCCGCAGCCGCCGTCTGGATGCTCTCTGGCACGCTGGGCTTGTTCCGCGAGGCGTACACCGTGCTGATGGAGGCGTCGCCCCCCGACATCGACACGAACGAGCTGCGGCGCGTGCTCTCTCGAAGAGCGGACGTCACTTCGATCCACTGCTTCCACCTGTGGGCCCTCGCCCCTGGCAAGCTGACGCTCACCGCGCACGTGCTCTGCGCGCCCTCGTGCGAGGACACAGACGAGGTGCTCGAGGACCTCTGCAAGGTTTGCCAGTACAAGTTCGGTATCCACCACGTCACGTTCCAGGTCACGCAAGACCGGCGTCTCGTGGGCAACGGCGGACGTCCGTGCGGCCATTGACGTCCGTGCGGCGGCTGCTGAGACTGAGACTGCGCAGCCGGCCGCGCTTCGCCGCAGACCAGTAACCGATCGAGGGATCGAGGTTGAGTGGGGTGAGTCGTGTCTTGAGTTGTAGGGAGGGGAGGGCAAGGCGAGCGAGGCGGTCTAGCCGCCGCCACTAGAGAACCCGCCCCCCGCCGTCGTGCGCGTAACATCGGGAGTCAGCGTACATCAACCATGGGGGTGTGCGGTGGTGTGTGGGGGTGCTGCTGCTGGCTGCACACAAGGTGCAGCGCTGCGGTGTGAGTCGTGAATATTTTACTCCAGTTTCCCATATGTCACTGCACCAGGTAGGAACCACACGCAGTGCTGTGCAGCTCGGCGTCAGCCGCGTAAGTGCCTTGGATCCAGAGCCGGTTCTGCTCGCTCAGCGGCCGCAACTTAATTGTCGACTTGTGCGGCACGTGCGCGCTGGGCTCGACAAAGCGCTCGAGCGGTGGGACGAGGGACGCGGCCGCTCTGACGAGGTCCTCGCTGAGGGTCTCAACACAAAGAGGTATGATGTGCAGGCTGGCAGGAGCTTTTGCCAGGTAGTGGTCGTAGACGGGTAGCATAAAGTTCTGTGCGTGGCTCGCAAAAGTGCTCTCCATCGCCGCCGCGTGCAGGGCGTTGCGCTCGTCACGTAACGCGTCGAGGTAGCGATTGGCGGCATCGGTGCCGTTGAAGTGCGCCCGGAACAGCGTGTTTGTCGTCTTGCTCGATTTGTGGCCCTCGACCCGTCGCCGAATCCCAGAGAAGATGCGTGAGGCGGGCGACCGCAGCGCGAGGAAGAGGCGCCGGGCGCCGCGCCGTTGCAGGTCCTTGGCCGTGCAGCGGTGGTCATGGTGAGCGTGCTCCTGCTCCAAGGCCAGCATGAGCGTCGCAGAGCCGGCGCGCGCGATCGCTAGGTAGCTGGTGGCGCTCCTCCTCGTCAGCGGCGGCGCTTCGCACCGGCTGAACATCTGCCGATGGCGCACAAAGCGTTCGATGGCAAACCCGCCACTGACGCTCGGCTTGGTTGAGCCACAGAAGAAGTCGGGCGCGCCCGGTGACAGCTTGCCCACAGTTGCCTCGTCAAGACGCCTTGGGGGGGTGGGCCTCCTCGGCCGCTGGCTGAATGACCGGAGCAGCTGGTCCAGCCGTTTCGGGCGACCCGACGCGGGTGCCGCCGTGGCATTCCCCTCTGTGCTCCGCGCCGAAGCCAACGCCCCGTGAGAGGGCACGAATGCGTTCTCGTGTGGCAGCGGCCCGGTCGGGCAGTTCCTATGGGCCCTCAGAAATGGGCACAGGCGTGACCAGCCGGTCGACCGTGACGTCTCCCGGTCGAAAAAGTCGATGACCAGCAGGCGCTGCGGTGCCTTTGCAAAGTAGGAGATGATCCCGTCGTTGTGGCGACGGTAGGCGGCTATCCAGGCGGCTCGCGAGGCATTGTGTGCGCCCAAGAGCTGCGTGTACCGATCCACATTGGACTGCTTCTTCAGCTGACATGTGACCCAATCCCGGATGGACCTCCACCAGTCGGCCTCTGGCCTCACTGTCATGTTGTAAAATTCTTTTCGACTCACGCGACAGGCGAGGCGCGGGCGACAGCTTCCTCAGAAGCCGTCGCCCGTGTCGTGTCGTGCGGCGCGAGTAAAATTCTTTTCGACTCACCCCCCCCCCCCCCCCCCCTCCCCCGTCCTTTAGCCTCTTGCGACGCAGGTTCCGACCCTCTGCGTGGCCGACTCACACAGCGAGCCTTCCTGTCTCCCGGCTGCCGATTCATCAGTCGTGCTCAGCCAAGGTATTGTAGAGACCGACCATATGCACAATATCTTGACTGAGAGCTAAGCCCAGCATGCAGTTCGACGATCGGCAGCCTCACCGCGGGTCGCGCCGCTGCGCAGCGAGAGCCAGGCTCGCCCGGCGAAGGTGACCAGAGAGCTCTCAACAAATACCAGAAAAAATCAGGGAGCCTCAGGGAGTGCCACTGCCACCACCCAGGCCGCGGGAGCCGATCGGCTGCGCCGAGGACAGCTCCCTCAGTGTGCTCCGCGGCTCACCAGTGTGCGCCGCGGCGCCGTCCAGCAACTTTGGCGGCCAGCGACCGGTCGAGTTCTTCGACTCAGGAGGAGAGAAAGGTACCGTCTGAAAGGCATTTTCATGCTCTATTGACTGGCGAAAAAATCCCCCGCCAACTGTTTTCACAGCGGGCGTGATTCACAGGTAAGCTTCGCTCGCAAGAGGTGGAGGACGGCGCGCTCGCTCAGCCGCAAAACGCGTTATAACCACGAGCGACTACCAGTGCATGAGCAATCCTGCCCCGGCCACTGGCATTGCCGCAGTGCCAGATGCGGGCGCCAGCACCACAAACTACGGCGCCGTGCTCGTGCAGCAGGACAACGTGATGCGCCAGCAGGACGCCGCACTCACCGACCTCTCGCGCTCGATCGGCACGCTGCGGACGATGGGCGGGCAAATACACAACGAGCTCACACTGCAGGTGTAGCCCTCCGACCTTCGGGCCGCCTCCCGCGCGACGCGCCTCGCGAGCCACACCGCCTCGCCGCGCCCCGCAGAGCAACCTGCTCGATGACCTCGAGCGAGGAGTCGACCGGACGCAGGGGACGCTCGCCTCGCAGCAGGGTCGGATGAAGAAGCTGCTGCAAAAGACGAAGAACAACTGGCTGTACTGCTCCATCCGTGCGCCCCGCGCCCCCTCGCCCCCGCCGCGCCAGCTGCGCCTGACAGCTACCGCTCCCCGCAGTCTTGCTCATCGTTGTGCTCTGCATCATCATCTACATCATGCTGACCATCTGACGGCGGCGATATTAGAGCGCTCTCGCTCGTTGGTTCCGTTGTGATGTGGTCTCCTTTGGCGCGAGAGAGACCCGCAGAGTGTCTTCGAGACGTTTTTTATATGTAGGATTCCTAGAGTGATCTGATCACTGATGCATTTTTTAGCTGTGTATGGCGCACGGCGACGCGGCGCTGGACGGTGGACGTGGACGGTGCTTGATGTACAGCCTTATTGAGGTTGTGCTGTTTTCTCTCTCTCTCTCTCTCTCTCTCTCTCTCTCTCTCTCTCTCTCTCTCTCTCCTCTCTCTCTCCTCTCGACTCTCGCTCGCTCTCTCTCTCTCTCTCTCAAAATAGTCGAGTGCACAGCCAGGCCGCAGAGCGCTCTCTCTGCGCACAACGCCGCACGCCGCCACGGGTTTCCAGCATCGAGAGTCGTGTGCGGCTGCGGCAGCCGGAGCCACTCACGAACACGATTCTCTGATCGATATCGCCGCGCCCCCTCACGAGATGACGCACCCCTCCGCGCCCGGCAGCCCGCTCGCTGCCAGCTCTGTCGGCGGTGGCCCGCACGCCTAAGGGAAGGAGGAAGGTCAGGTCGGAAGGTGGTGGTGGTGTGTGCGTGCGCGCGCGTGACAAACAACGCCAGGGTTCCTTCGAACTCTTTTGTGTGTGCGTGTCGCGCGCCTGCATCTCCTGCATGAGCTTGGCGACGCGGTCGGTGTCCTCCGGCTCCTCCTCGTACGCGGCGACGATCTGGTCGACAAGAGCCTGTTCACAGCCGCAGCGTGAAGAGACGCCGTTCGCAGGCTCGCGGCGCAGGCCGGCCGTTCTGTCTGTCTGTCTGTCTGTCTGTCTGTCTGTCTGTCTGTCTGTCTGTCTGTCTGTCTGTCTGTCTGTCTGTCTGTCTGTCTGTCTGTCTGTCTGTCTGTCTCTCTGTCTGTCTCTCCCTCTCTCTCTCTCTCTCTCTCTCTCTGTGTGTGTGTGCGTGCGTGTGTGTGTGTGTGTGTGTGTGTGTGTGTGTGTGTGTGTGTGCGTGTGTGTGTGTGTGTGTGCGTGCGTGCTTCATCAGTCAGGCCCGCCTGCTGCTTCTCTTAGCGCGCGCGATCTTGCGGCGGGAGCGATGCGCCCTGCCACGGCCGAAGTGTAAGCGAGGTGTTGAAGCCGAGGTGTTGCAGCCCGAGGTGTGCAGCAAATGTGCGCACGCGAGGTGTGCGGCCGTTGGTGCGGCCGTGGTGCGGCCGTGGTGCGGCCGTTGGTGCGCCCGTGTTGCCGCCGTTGGTGCGGCCGGTGTCCACACCTGGTAGGCCGGGGTGCGCCCGGGGTAAGCCAACCCCCTCTCCTCCAGGTAGCAAGGAAAGTTGGATCCCATTCGAAAGCATTGGCCTCCCGCATCCCCTCCTTTTGGGGGAGAAAGGGGGGGGGGGGGGGGGGGCTTCAATGGTGGGAACTCCCCTTGCGTGGCGCTTTGCAGGCTGACGACTGCGGTGTGGCGGGGCCGAGACACTTCCGAGACACTTCCGAGACACCTCCGAGACACTTCCGGTGTGGCGGGCCCGTTCCACGCGCGACCGCGTGCGGGAGGAGGGAGGTGGGGGGGGGGAGGAGAGCTGGCGGCTTGATAGTCTGGGACTGCTGGAAAAGCGTTCTGGCCCAGGCCCTTCTGCGAGGTGCCAGTCGGGAGGGGGGGGGGGGGGCGGCAAACACGCCCCAGACGCCTCAGCCGCGGCGGGGCCCACCGCCCTCCCTCGCCTCCTCTGACGGTTGGCTCCCCATCAGTGGTTTGAGTACGGCTGCGTGAGCACGGCTGCGTCCCTCGTGCTGGCGGGAGGTGAAGAGGGCCAGGGCTGGGAGTCCCTCCATTGCTGGCGGGGGTCGGGGCTGCCGCAAGTGAGCTGCCGCGCTCCTTGGATAGCAGCTGCCCAACGAGACCGTCCAAGAGCCCGTCGATCGCCTCGTCACTGGCGCCGCCGCCGCCGCCGCCGACGCCGCCGCCGCCGCCGCCACCTCCTAGCAGCCCCTCCAGCGCACCCGCGTCCATCTCGCCGAGGCCCGCCTCCTGCAGCTGCTTCGTCAGCATCTCGAGCATCGCCGCCGACTCGTCGCCCTCCGCGCCGCCGTTCGCCGCCAGCGACTCGGCTGACCGGGCGAGAGCCGCAAGCGTCTCCTCCATGCCGGCGAGCTCGTCTCCCGCGCCGCTGCTCGCGCCGCCAGAAGCGCTGCCGCTGCCGCTGCTCTGCGCCGCGGGGCCGGTCGGACCGGACGGAGGCCGCGCCGGGCCCGCCACTGCGGCGGGTGGAGCGGCCGCGGGCGTCGCCGCGGTCGTGGGCCGGGCCGGAGGCTCGTCGTCGCTGTCCGCGTCGAGCTCGGCGAGCGCGTTCTTCAGCAGGTCCTGCATGGCCGGGTCCGCCATTCGATGGGCGGAGGTAAAAGAGAAATTGCGGCGGGCGTGCACTCCGCACCATGCACAATGCCGCTCTCCCCGCACGCTAGCTCGTTCACCGTCTGCCACGCCACAGCGGTGTGGAGGACGACTGACAAACGCTGCATTTGCAGGCCGTGCCAATTCTTGGTTGTCCATGTGACCTCGTCCAGGTGTGCTGAGCATGTGAAAGTTTGTTGCTCAGCTGGTTCGCCGCCTCCCTCAGGGAGCTGCGGACCTCCTTTCCAAAGCCTCCGAAGCTCTCGAAGTCGAACAAGCGCAGATCGCAATCCTGCTCCCGCGCAAAGCGGTAATCGCCATCCAGCTGCATGAGCGGCCTCTTGCCTCTTGGGGGCATCCGCGTCCTCCCCCTCCCCTACCTCCCCCGCCTCCGCCTCCTCCTCCTCCTCCTCCTCCTCCGCCACCCGCCGCTGCCGTCGCTCTCGACGGCGAGTACTTGCCGCGCCCTTTGACCAGATTGAGCAGCCCGGGCTCCGTGTTGCCGAAGCGAACATACGCCCCCTTCCAGCCGAGCTCTCCGTCGCCGGCCGCGTCCTTGCCCTTGCTCGCAAGCGAGCTCGTGAGCTTCAAATCGGCAACAAGGCGCCTGTGCCCCTTGCCGATGTTTGCCGCCGCCACGTCAGGTTGTTTGGGATTACTGTAACTGAGGTGTGCAGTCGGCTCCATCTCGATGATCATGCCCCACGCCGAGCGGAGGGTCTTGACCAGTCGTTTGAGTAGGAATTTGTGTCTTGTAGCATGCTTCGACCGAGGGTTAACCATCGCGGCGTCGCCGAGGATGTCGTGCAGCTGGCCGTTGGGTGCCCTACACACACGTCCTCGAGCGCCTGAGCCCCGAGCAGGACACACCTCACGAACCAAGCTGCTCTCGCACCTCCTCTCACTAGTTACTCGGTTGGGCTCTCTCCTTTCTATACTTCGTCGCTTTCACCGCGTTTGGATGCAAACTTGTGAAATTTTCAGTGAAACGGGGGCGGCCGAAACGTTTCATGTGAAATTCACATGAATTCACATGTGAAAGTGAAAGGGTGAAATTTCACTCACGAACCCTGGTGTTGTGTGCCGTCAGAGTGACTCTCTGTGTGTCAGGGATAGTCAAGGCCGTCCTGCGTCCATCAGAGCTCCAGTAAGCTCGGAGACACCCCATTAGCGCGGCTCGACCTCTTTGAGTCAGTCCCTTCCCGGCGGTTTGGCTGTAGAGCCTCTACAACCAACTCTACTCTACATCGCTCTACAACGCAGGCAGTTCGTCGCACTTGGAGCACTTGGAGTGCGGTCATCAACCTCACGCCCAGGACCGGGGAGCTAAGAAGCGCACCCAGTTGGCCGGACGCTCGGCATCGGGTTACGGGCTAGAGAGCCCTAGCCCCGGGGGTGCGCGGTCGCAGGGCCATAACACGTCTCCGAGGGATGGTTCCGTGTACGCGCGGCGGATGTAGAGCTCTACAGCTCTACAGCGCTCCAGAGCGCTCTACATCTCTACAGCTCTACACAGCGCTCCAGAGCGCTCTGCATCTCTGCATTCTACACCCTCCCTCAGAATGGACAAAAAAGAAAAACATGACTTTTCCTGCTTTTTCCCGATCGCGACCCAATTCGATCGATGCTCCTCGCTACTGCCCACGCCGTGTCCGGCTTCCACGTGGGATCGCACGTGACGTCTGTCGCTGCCCAAGTCGTGAAAGTCGTGATTTCTGGTTGGTTTTCAAAATCTCGAAATGCCGATTTGAGAGAGAGAGAGAGAGAGAGAGAGAGAGAGAGAGAGAGAGAGAAGAGAAGAGAAGAGAAGAGAGAGAGAGAGAGAGAGAGAGAGAGAGAGAGAGAGAGAGAGAAGAGAGAGAGAGCGAAGAGAGAGAGAGTGGTTGCCCAATGGGTGGCAGGTGCCTCTGCTGCTGTGGCATGCCTCACGGCTGCGGCTCGGCGCGGCGCGTCAGCTCGGCTCGGCGTAGCGATAGTGGCCAGCGCAACTCGCCTGGACTCCAACGCTCAGCCAGGAGCTCCCGCACGCGCTGGCGCGAGTCATGTGGCGCATGCAACGCGTCTGAATGCTCGCCTCGCCTCGCGCAAATGCGACCGTCCTCGCAGCCGACAGTCCACCGCCTGCTAAAGAAGCACAGCGACGAATGCGGCACCGGCGACGCATGGCAGGCTGGTCATGACGCAGTTATAGGGTGTTGTGTGCCGTCAGAGTGACTCTCTGTGTGTCAGGGATAGTCAAGGCCGTCCATCAGAGCTCCAGTAAGCTCGGAGACACCCCATTAGCGCGGCTCGACCTCTTTGAGTCAGTGCCTTCCCGGCGGTTTGGCTGTAGAGCCTCTACAACCAACTCTACTCTACATCGCTCTACAACGCAGGCAGTTCGTCGCGCGGCGGATGTAGAGCTCTACAGCTCTACAGCGCTCCAGAGCGCTCTACATCTCTACAGCTCTACACAGCGCTCCAGAGCGCTCTGCATCTCTACAAACAGCTCTCCTACAGATCCTCTACATCCTCTACTCTGACAAAAAAGAAAAACTGGCGGTTTCCCTGGCCCCACGCCGTGTCCGGCTTCCACGTGGGATCGCACGTGACGTCTGTCGCTGCCCAAGCCGGCGCTCTGCGCTCGCTGCATCGGTTGTGTCTGGCAGAGACGTCCAGCGGAGTGGACGTCTCGTTGGAGCCGACGTCAGCCGGCGCGGACTGCGGCTGCGCAGAGCCGCAGGGCGTGGTGATGAATGACGTCCGCGTGACGGGCCGCAAGCTACGCAGTATGGTGCTCGCGAACGCCGACAGCCTGTGTGCAGCGCGATTGGCGACGAGGGCAAGGCGGTGGTGATCTTCCTCCGCCACCTCGGGTGACCGCTGTGCTGGGACTACGCGCTCAACTGGCCGCGCGAGACGCCGCGTCTCGCCGCCGCCGGCGTCGCGGGTCCGCTCTTCATCTCTGTCGGCCGTCCCGACCAGCTCAAGCAGTTCCTCGAGGTCAACCCGGAGCTCACGGGCGCAAAGGCTCTGATCGACGACTCGCCCGACTTTGCCGGCTACAGGGCGGCCGGCTTCAACCTCAAGCTAGGGGAAAAGCAGCTCGAGAAGCCGCCGGACTTCAAGCCGCCCAAGGCCATGGGGATGGGCAAATGGATGACCTACCTCAAGAATGTGGGCTCGCTCTCGCCCGTGCCCAAGGGCATGAAGTTTGGCGAGTTCCCCGAGGGCGTCAAGGTGCTGGGCGGCACGTACGCGATCGACTGCGACGAGGTGCTCTTCGCGCACAGCGACGAGGTGCCGGGCGCCACGCCCAATATCGAGGAGGTGCTGGCGGCAGCCGGGGCAGCCTGAGCAGTCCTCTGGCCGCGTGCCGATCTCCCTCCTTTGCTCGAGCATGACGCCGTCGCCTCCACGCGGGAAACCTCTTCCCCGCCTGGCGACGGCCGAAGGACGAGCGAGCAAAAGGAGGTGCGCGGCGCGCGGCATTGCACACGTGATGTTCTGCACATGCGCGAGCCGTGACTGCGAGTTAGGTAAGGTAAGGTAAGGCGTAAGCGGTAAGGTAAAGCAAACTTCTCCACCCCCGTGTCACTGGGTGTGGGACACTGATCTCTCTTCACACTGTGCACACGACACACCGCGTGACACAAGAGCGTCAGAGGAGAAATTAATCAGCTGAAGACAACATCCCGCCAGAGTCGCCAGACTATCCCGGATCCTGCTGAACAAGTTCCTCTTGTAGCTCGACCTCGGTTTGTTATGACCCCCCCCCGATGAACACACCAGTGAGGGTGGGCGAGACGATGGAGGGGTCCCGTAGCATGCGGAATCGACCCTATCCAGTGCTCAAGTGCTCAAGCAAGCGCCAGCTGTCCGAGGAGGCCACCGGCCAAAAGCGCATGTCTTGAAGGTCCGATACTGGAAGCCCATCCATGTAGGCACCTTACACCGGCCAAAAGCGCATGTCTTGAAGGTCCGATACTGGCAGCCCATATAGGCACCTTACACCAGAGAGAGAGGCCTAGAGAACACAACCCCCTCTCTCTTTTCTCCCAGTAAGCTAAAAGTACGTACACCAGCGCAGAATTGCGAAGGAGAGCCGTAAAACGCTGAAACGGTTATAACACACGCCCCACTGGCGCAAACCTCCATTCCCTGGCCTGCAGACTGCCTTCTTGACACTTGAGAGGGCCTTTGGCACAGGACCCAGCGGATGTCGTCACTCCTTGCCGTAGTACTCGGCGCAGGATCACCACCGCCAGCATCCCAGTGCAAAGACTTTTGCGACACGAAAACGCACCTGTGGGCGCAACGATGTGATTGGCGGGGCTGCAACGGCTGCTCGCAATGCTCCCTCATGACTTGCAGCATATTCTGCGACGCCAAAACACAGCCGTGGGTGGAACGGTGCACCTGGGTCGGCTGCAACGGCTGCTTTGAGTGCTCCGTGCCGCCGCCCGCGCTGCCTCCGTCGCCGTCCCCTCCTCAGTGCAAGGCGTATTGCGGAAGCAAAACACAGCCGTGGGCGAAGCGGTGCACCTGGGTCGGCTGCAGCGGTTGCTCCGAGTGCTCCGTGCCGCCGCCCGCGCTGCCTCCGTCGCCGTCCCCTCCTCAGTGCAAGGCGTATTGCGGAAGCAAAACACAGCCGTGGGCGAAGCGGTGCACCTGGGTCGGCTGCAGCGGTTGCTCCGAGTGCTCCGTGCCGCCGCCCGCGCTGCCTCCGTCGCCGTCCCCTCCTCAGTGCAAGGCGTATTGCGGAAGCAAAACACAGCCGTGGGCGAAGCGGTGCACCTGGGTCGGCTGCAGCGGTTGCTCCGAGTGCTCCGTGCCGCCGCCCGCGCTGCCTCCGTCGCCGTCCCCTCCTCAGTGCAAGGCGTATTGCGGAAGCAAAACACAGCCGTGGGCGAAGCGGTGCACCTGGGTCGGCTGCTCGGGCTGCACAGAGTGCTCTGACCCTTGCGCTGAGGTTCTGTGCGCATCGACCGAGGCATCTCACCTCCTCGACTTTAGCCTGGCGACACTGCAGAACAACAACCTCGGCGGCCAGGGCCCAGACGTCTCCTCTGACGAGAGCATGTTCTTCGCGTCGGTCGGAACCATGCCAGACGGCTCGCCGCTCAACCTGCGGGTCACCGCGCTGACACCATACGTGCCGCACAATGCCGCGAAGCACAACCGCATCAACGGCGCGATCCCGCAGATCAACCTCGGGCAGAACGAGACCGTGACGCTGCGGTTTGACTTCGCCGACAGCAGCGGCCAGCAAGCGGTGCTGAGCGAGTTCTTCTTGACCTACTACGACCTCGACCAGGAATCGGACCTGCCGTCTGGCATGGAGTCTGTGACGGCGAGCGGCTTCGTCAAGTATAGCATCGACCCCAACACGGAGCTCGACGTCAGCACCGCGCCAGACGGCTCCGTCACCTTCACCTCGTCGCAATCGGGGCGCCTGGAAGACAACCCGACTCACCCAACAGCCCTGACAGCGGAGCAGCGCGCGCGCTCTGTGACCCTCTGGTATCGCGAGACCTCGACGCTCACACTCATCTACTCGACGACGGCGGCCGCTTGCTCGCCCAAGCCGTGCGGCGGGCGCAACCTCCTCTTTGCAGGCGTCAGTGTATTCGACCCCCACCCATGCTGCGTTCGGCCGCCGTCACTCCCGACCCCTTCGCCGCCACCTCCTTTTCCGTCGCCACCACCCCTGGAAGCGCCGCCGCCGCCACCCCCCTCACCGCCGCCACCACCCCCCCTATCGCCGCCGCCGCCCTCGAGCTGCTCCGCTTCGTCGGCCACCCATCCTCGGGGTCGGCAGGCGCGTCCGTGCAGGTCAACCTGAGCCAGGCGACCAACGAGAGCGACGCCGTGTACGAGGTGCGCTTCGAGGGCGGCCTCGAGCTCGGCTCGGGCACCGGGGCGCCGCCGGTGCTCGGTGTGCGAGGCGTCGTTCACTCCGGCGGCGAGGCGTCGCTGCAGCTGGAGACGGTCGAGCAGTGGTCGCCGCTCGGCGGCAACCTGCTGGCGCTCCCGGCCATGCAGGGCGACCTGACCGTCAGCGGCGGCCTGGTCAGCGTGAGCGTCGCCGCGGCGGCCAATCACGTCGACATTGTACCGGACCTCCTCGCGCTGAGCGACCTGCGCGTGCTGGCCACTCTCGCGTCCTTCAACGTGTCGGGCGCGCCTACGGCCCTGGCGGTGACTGCGAGCAGCACCGTGCTCGTGGGGGGCGATGCCGGCTTCAGCGGCACGCTGGCGGGCACGCTCGACACAAAAACCGGCACGGCGACGCTCGCCATCGCGCACCCGGGCGGCTGGTCGCCTCTGCCCTGGCTGACGACGCCCAGTTTTGCTGGTAACCTGAAGCTTGGCGGAGCACAGCGCCTCGCATTTGAGGTGGACGTCGACTTTGCAGATCGCCTATCTTTGGGATCTATTCTTGCCCTGCGCGGCGCAGGCTCGCAGCGGCGCGCCTTAAGCAGCCCTGAAGCACGCAGGGACGGGGAGAGACGCAGCCTGAGCGATGCTGCTGGCCCACGTCTCTCCCTGGAGCTGAAGCAGCAAACGGAAGGCTCGGCCACAAAGTTCATCATAGGTTTTGCGGCGCAACTGCTCTTCTCTGGAGATCGACTGCCCCCGCCGCTGGAGCTGACTGGCCAGCTCAATCCCTCAGGCACCTCCACTCTCTCCCTCTCAACAACAAGTAGCTGGCGGCCCCTAAAAGATACCCTCGACAGCTTCGTTCTTTCGAAGCTAGATGGCACGATTACCTTTGAACCAGATGGCTCTTTTGCGGCGAGTTTAACTACAGCAGGAGTAAGTGTATCGTTGGCAAATGGACAGGTTGAGCTGCTAGGCTGGGAGGGAGCAGCGTTCGTCAATAGCTCGTCTCGTGCGGTGTACGTGACAGCAAGTGGCGACGTACGGATCGGTGGAAGCAACGGCTTCAATGCCAGCATTAGCGCGTCAATTGACACCTCGGTGCCGTCTGCCCAAGTGTCGCTCTCGCATGCTGGAGGCGTCTGGCGGCCGTTTGCGTCTACACCTTCTATCGTATGTCCCGCTTTCGACGCTGCCATGAGTGTTGGCGGCGATCGGTATGTAGGTCTGCAAGCCTCCGCGAGATTCAGTCAGCCTGTGGAGCTTTTCGAAGTTATCAGCCTTAAAGGGCTAGCGTCCAATCCAGGGCCTACCTTTGGCGTGGAGTTGACTATGGAGCACGAAAATTCAGCGGCCAACGTCCATGCTTTCGTTGACGCACACGTCTGCGTTAAGCTTAACCATCCACCCCTCTGCGTCGATGTCCGCGCAGAAGCCAGCACAGACGGTATGACCCTGTCCGCTCAATACACGGGCGGCGACATCTACCCCCTGAGCGGGACTGGCCTGCAGGGCTTCGTCACCAGTGCTGTGCTCGTCAAAGCCAGTCAGACGAGTCCCCTCGGCATACGCTTGAGTGCCTCACGTGGCCGCCTCGAGGCCTCGCTCGGAGGAGTTGTCCAATGCGATCTACGCGGTATGGGTGGACGCAGGACGGGCGATGACGGTCACACAGGAGCGACACACAGAACCACAAGACAAGACACTCAGCCAACCTGGCTGCCACACATCCTGAGCGAACTTCCCTAGACACCCGCGGCCGGACTCCATCCGGCACGCGTCGCTGGGCGCTCAGAGCTGCGTCCCCTGCTCGCCACTGTGAGACACCCGCGGCCGGACTCCTAAAAGAAAGAAAGAAAACAGACAACCCAAGGGAGGGATGGGAGGACGGCACGCCGCCACCACACAGGGATTTTAAGGAGAGGTGTGTGGTGCGCTATCCGTCGCCCACCCTAGGGAGTCGGACTCCTGTGAGAGAGGCTTGTGTTCGAAGAATTCTTTCACCAACCCCGGGAGAAGCCCGACGTAAACGACTTCGCGCGAACATTGCAAATGCTCGCGCTTCTCCTTTTCCAACCCCGCTTCCATCGCGCCCACGCATCGGCTTCGCTCCCCACTCCACCACCGCTCCTCAGGGTGGGGCGCAGCACTATGTTGCAGCGTGGCGATGAGCAGACGTTGGAGGAGCGAATCTCTGCCATGCAGGCTCGGAACCAGCGGCGAGGGGCTGTCGTTCTGGGGATCGTCGTGGTTGCCTGCGTTTGGCTCTTCTCCGTACCTCCGGACATTCGCCGCAGCAGCATCTGCGGGCTCGACGAGAGCACGGGCTGCACGCCGCTTCCAGCACTCGCGAGGCGTATTGCGAGCCATTACTCTTCTTGCGATATTGCTGGACGAGAACCTGACGTGCCGGCTTGCGTCGCATTCGACTTCAGCATCGACCCGCGGTCGCGCGCCAGCTTTGATCGCACGCTCGAGTCGCTCTTTGAGGGGGGAGGGAGAGAGTAGCACGGCATTGTGCCACACGGTGTTTGTGGAGGTAAGGTAAGGTAAGGTAAACGTCTCCACACACACAAAGTGGTGGGGCAAGGGGGGGCGACCCTCGCATCTCCACGCCCGGACACGGGCAGGAGCCCCACGGCATTCAAAGTGCAAGCACCGGCCCGGTGCCGTGGGTGAGCAACCTGCACCCCACTCCCTCCCTCCCAGACACAGGACCCACACACAACCCCCACAGCGTGGACGACTACGTGTTCAGAAACACCAAGCAGCGAGGCGAGGGTGAAGGGGTAAGGGGCTGTGTGGGGCAGAATCTACATCTGACTACTCCATCTAGCCTGGGGGGTCGGAGGAGGGGGGGGCAGAAAGGGTAAGATATGGTTGAAGCCAGCTAGCGGTCGGACGCCCTGTCGTCGGAATACTCCTCGGAGCCGGTGTCCTCGTCGTCGTCCTCGCCCGACGCGGAGATCGGGCGAGAGGTCTGCATCGCCTCGCCGGCTGTGAACCTGAACACGGCGTCGGCCGGCGCCGAGGCGCCGGCGGCCGTCATCAGGTGCATGACGAATCTGTCGCGGCATGCCGCATCTATCTCTCCATACTAGCCTGAGAGCCCCTCTCATCCTCTAACCCTATCTCCATGATTAATGGATGATTATCGCCCTCTGATATATCCCATCACACCTCAACCCTATTCCTGGCCCACTCCCACAGGCCCGGGCTGGGCGCTGCAGCGTACCATCAGAGGCGGCACCAGATACGCCGGACCGGAGTGGTGCGCGGCCGCCCGGCAGAGGGAGGGCAGTGCCGCGTTGGCGGCGAGAAATAATTCGTGGTGCCGACAAAGAGGTGAAGAAGAGTCAGGCTCGGACTAGACATGATCTGCTTTCAACATACCCAGAGACGACGTGTTTTTCTTCTTTCTAAGTTTTGGCATCATCAGCAGCTCTGCGTTCGGATTTCTTTTTGCGCTTGGATTTCTTTTTTGGCGACCTAACGCGAGCCATCTCAGATAGCTGGGTCGGGCTCCAGCTCGCGCGTCAACACATCTAGCGCCGTCTTGCCCCGACCGTAGCCTGACAGTGCGTAATTGTTTTTCTTCTTTTGGTGAGCCTGTGTGTGTGCCAGTCCGCGCCAGTCTGCGCCCTTGTCGTGCCAGTGTGCTGTGAGAGAGGCTTGTATCTTAAGAATTCTTCTTTTAGACTTCGTCATCAAGGGAAGTCGAGAGTTGTCGAGCAGCGCGCTGCAACAGCAACACAGCATGCAGTCCGCGCTCAAGCTCGCGCGACGGCCGGCGGCTGCCCTCTCGAGGCGCGGCGTGCGCAACGCGGGCAGCCTGACCATGGACGTCCACCCGTCTGGCGTCGCGCTCATAAAGATCGACTGCCCGAACGCAAAGCAGAACACCATGTCAAAGGAGCTGCTCGAGGAGTTTGAGGAGATCACGTCGCGGATCGAGAAGGACGCAGCGGTCAAGGCGGTCGTGCTCATGTCCTCCAAGCCGGGCTCCTTTGTCGCGGGCGCCGACATCAAGCAGATTGCTGCGCTCGGCGACGCGCCTCCGGAGGTGCTCGCAGAGGCGTCCGGCATGGGCCAGGCGGCGCTGGACAAGCTCGAGTCGATGCAGAAGTCGAAGCCGTGGGTCGCGGCGATCGACGGCCCCGCGCTCGGCGGCGGCCTCGAGATTGCGCTCGCCTGCTCGCACCGCGTCGCCACCTCGTCGCCTAAGACCATCCTTGGCCTGCCCGAGGCGCGTTCGCCGCCGAAGCCTCTCTCACCACCTTCCCAAAATATTCCCGCCACCCCGACTGTGCCTCCCACCACCCTCCCACCACCCTCCCACAACTCTCACACCACCGTCCATCGAC